AATTTTTTCAATACTAAGCCCACGAGACTTGCCCGCCTTTTGAGAAGTGTCGTCACTGTCACCTTTCTTTGTCAAATTCTCCTTCTTGTTCTCATATCTGTCATGTTGGAGTATAAGTGCCCTAGTTGATTCAATCTTTGTGGATTTCTTGTCCCTTCGACGAAACTCGTGATTTAACAGTGTGGCAGTCACTTCGTCATAATTCAAGATCTCATTCCCATGAATGAGTGTCATAATGAAGTTTTTCTACTCATTCGGGAGCGAACTCAACAAAAGCACATTGTCTTCATCTTCAACCTCCTTATCCAAATTTATCAGATCTGTCAACAACTTGGAGAAGTCATTCAAGTGTTTATAAATAGTAATCTCTCGTCTCATCTAAAATCTGTAAAGTCGGCGCTTCATATGGAGACGATTCTCCACGCTCTTCATGAGATATTTGTTCTCTAGCATTCTCCATAATTTTCCTACAAAAGTCTTTATCATCACTCCATATTTAAATTTATGTGGTAAACAATTTCGGATCAACCCACAAGCATTCATGTTCGTCTTCAACCAATTTTTCTGACCTCCCTTCAGAATATTACTTGCTATCCAGGACCTCCTCCAGATTCAGATAACATAGTGCATCCATCACATTGCATTGTCACATTTCAAAGTTCTCTTTGTCATCAAATTTCGTCATATCAATTTTGACGGGATGTGTATTCACCTGATAAATCGATTTTTCCACTATCAAAGTGGATGCTGAAGTATCTGACATCGTGTTATCATTTATGGCTATCTCCAAAAAAGTTTCTCTAACAAAATATCTAGGAAAAAAAAGAAAAAAAAAAGACGAACAACAAAAATGATCACTCGAAAAAAAAAAGAAAAAAAATTTTTTGTTATTCTTTCTTTTTTCTTTCAAAAATTTTTCCCTATTTTTAATCCACTCAATTGTTGCTCCCCGAAATCTTTTTTATTTCTCTTTTATCCATGAAATCCATGTTCCCACAAGCTTCCTTTTTTCAAAGCTTAATGTTCCTTAAAGATTATCTTCCCTTAAAGCTTTCCGTTTTCATTGTTTCATGTGCACTATCACGCGATGCTCCCCCGGACGAAAAAATATTACATCAGTACTACGCACGTAG